GTTGCATAGATGGGGAATGACCAGTTAAATGACCAGTTAGCACTATCAATGCCATGGTAAAATAAAAAAGTCTAAATAACATGGAGCAGTGGAAAATTTTCCAGAAAGGGGACACATCTGCATATTGCCTCCAATCACGGTGAGGAGGATGGTGAGTGAGGCAAAGAAGAGCCCATAGATCACAGTTTTTCAACTACAATGTTTAGTTGAATCTTGTGGTTTCACCATTTCAAAATCAGCAGTAAGACACCACTTCCATGACCAGAAGATTTTTAGCAGGGTTCCATGAAAGAAGGCCTTCCTTAATCCAAGACACAAATACCAGCATCTGAACTTTGCCAAGTAACAATGGACCTACAACTAGAATTGTGTGTTGTGGTCAGATGAAACTACAACAAAAATTGAGCTTTTTAACCATGCACACTATCCTTATGTTTGGCAAAAAAAAAGGGTCTGCATACAAACAAGGGCACCTCATATCCAAGGTCAAATATGGTGGCTGTTTGATTCGTTGTTGCTGTTTTGCTGCCAGTGGTCCAGGGGCTCTTATTAGCAGTGTAGTGAATTCCATTCAGTACCAGAACATTTTAGCCCTAAATCTGGTTGCTTCTGCCAGAAGGCTGGAAGTAGGCCGCAATTGGGTCTTCTACTAAGACAATTACCTGAAACGTACATCAAAATTGACAAAGAATTTTTTGCAGCTACTCAAAATCAAGATTTTGCAATACCCATCTCAGTCTCCAGACTTGAACCAAATTGTAAATCTGTGGCCTGCATTGAAGAGGGCAGTTCACAAACAAAAAGTCCAACTGTGTTTATGCATGCTACAATTGATAAAACGAGAGATGAAAAGATTGTGGCTGCTTCGGTATGAGGAACATCATCTAAATTATATCTGCACATTCCAAACAGATGACCTTCACCGCATTTCTATGTCAAACAGACTGTCTGGTAATTAATAGCTGTCAATTCGAAATCCCCTCCAGTGCTTCTGTCTGCTCGTTGAGCGAGCTGACTTACAGTTCCGTGCAGTTGGGTAGGAAGCAATTTCATGCTTAGCTGCTGTTTGTGGAATTGCTAAGTGCACTGCCAGGATTTTAAACCAGAACAAATTAGGCATTTACACTTGAAACAGTGATGGAGGAAGTTAGGCAGGGTTGGCTTTAGAGTTTGATGAACTTTCTTAGAGCACAGCTTAGGGTAAATTGAGGTCACTCTGCAGTGGCCAATCTTTAATATGAACCCTATTCCAAAAAAGTTAGGATGCTGTGTAAAATGTAAATAAAAACAGTATGCAATGATTAGCAAATCTCATAAACCGGCATTTCATTCACAATAGAACATAGACAACATATCAGATGTTGAAATTGAGGCATTGCACCATTTCATGAAAAAATTAGCTCATTTTGAATTTGATGGCAGCAACACATCTCAAAAAATTGGGAGGGGACAATGAAAGGCTTCAAAAGTAAGTGGTACTAATAAAAAAACAGCTGGAAGAGCACTTTGCAACACGGTAGGTTAATTGGCAACAGGTCAGTGACATGACTGGGTATAAAAAGAGCATTTTAGGGAGGCAGAGCCTCTCAGAAGTAAAGATAGGCAGAGCTTCACCAATTTGTGAAAAAATGAATCTAAAAATTGTGGAACAATTTCAGAAAAATGTTCCTCAATGTAAAACTGTGAAGATTTTGAATATCCCACCATCTACAGTACATAACATCATCAAAAGATTCAGGGAATCTGGAGAAGTCTCTGCACACAAGGGACAAGGCCGAAGGTCAATGTTGGAGGCTCGTGATCTTCGGGCCCTCAGGCGGCGCTGCATTAAAAACAGGCATGATGCTGCACCGGAATTCACTGCATGGGCTCAGGAACACTTCCAGAAATCATTGTCTGTGAACACAGTTCGCCTTGCAATCTACAAATGCAAGCTAAAGCTGTATCATGCAAAGAAAAAGCCATATGTAACACGATCCAGAAACGCCGCCGTCTTCTCCGGGCTAAAGTTCATTTAAAATGGACTGATGCAGAATGAAAAACTGTTCTGCAGTCAGATGAATCAAAATTTGAAATTCTTTTTGGAAACCACGGACACTGTGTTGTGCAGTCTAAAGGGGAGCGTGGCCATCCAGTTTGTTGTCAGCGCACAGTTCAAAAACCTGCATCTCTGATGATATGGGGTTACATTAATGCCTATTGCATGGGGAGCTTACACATCTGGAAAGGCACTATAAATGCTGAAAAGTATACAGAGGTTTTACAACAACATATGCGCCCATCCAGACCACATCTCTTTCAGGGAAGGCCTTGCATACAGTATGTCACAAAAGTTAGTACACCCCTCACATTTTGACAATTAATTTATTATATCTTTTCAAGGGACAACGTTACAGAAATGAAACTTGAATATATTCTAGAGTATTCATTGTACAATATGTGTAGCAGTGTAGATTTACTGCACTGTCCAAATAACTGAACAAACAGTCACTCACAGTCACTGTGAGGGGTGTACTCACTTTTGTGAGACACTGTATTTCAGCAAGACAATGCTAAACCACATACTGCATCCATCACAACAGCATGGCTTTGCAGTAGAAGAATCCGGGGTTCTAAACTGGCCTGTCTCAGACCTTTCATCAATAGAAAACATTTAGCGCATCATAAAACAGAAAATCCGGCAAAGAAGACCCAGGACTGTTGAGCGGCTAGAATTCTACATCAGACAAGAGTGGGACAACATTCCTCTCCCAAAACTCCAGCAACTGGTCTCCACATTTCTCAGATGTTTACAGACTGTTGTTAAAAGAAGAGGGGATGTTACACAATAGTAAACATGGCCCTGTCCCAACTTTTTTGTGATGCATTGCTGCCATCAAATTCAAAATGAGCAAATATTTTTCATCAAATGGTAAAATGTCTCACTTTCTACATCTGATATGTTTTCTATGTTCTTAGTGAATAAAATGTGGCTTCATGAGATTTGCAAATCATTTTATTCTATTTTTTATTTACATTTTACACAATATCCCAATTTTTTTGGAATTGGGGTTGTATTATGTCAATATATTCAGCACATCGGTAATAATTATGACTAATGCTTGAACATAATCATCGATTTTGACTAATACTGTGGTGAAACATACCGCAATATACAGGAGTTTTAGAAAGATACATTGAGCTCCATAATTCATTGGACAGCGACACACTTTATGTCAGCTCGGTTCTGTTGGCTGTGTTAATCACCTGATCTGAAACCAATTGAACATCCATTTTACAGACTGAAGGGGAGGTGGAAGGCTAAAAATGACCCAAATCCACAAAAATTGAGGATGGCTGCAGCACAGGCCTAGCAAGGAAGATACCCATGTCTGGTGGTATCTATGCATCACAGACTTCAAGCAGTCACCGCATGCCAATGATATGCGACAAGTATCAAAAAAAAAAACATTGCTTTACATTGCGACATTATGTCAAACTGTGATGTGCTTAGATATGGCGGGGGGACTGTGTACAACAGGTGCTTTCTTTTCTGAGCGGTTTATCCAATATGGATAAAAACACCCTCAACTTAAACTGTTAGTCTGCTCTTCAACCTCACTGTATATCCATTCATATGCTTCATATGCTTCCAAACTCAGTAGTATCCTCTCAAACTCAGTGCTTGAGTACTGAACCAAAATTTTAAAAATGTCACTTATCAAGAAATTATGGTGTTCATTGCACATATACAGTAAATTAGCACTGTGTGTCATGCACTATTACACATTAAAATGGGATAGCCTTTGTTTGCCCTTGTGCATTGACGATCATTTGGCGCCTAACACCCTGTTGCCAATTCATGGTCATTATGTTTTTGCTCAGTGTTTTGTGTGTGTGTGTGTGTGTGTGTGTGTGTGTGTATGTATGCTATGTTTGTGTGTTTGTGCATGCATACTATAAGTGTGCATGATTGTAAAACATATATTTTCTAATATGGAAGTAATTTTAAGATTTGGTCATTTTCAAAGAGCACTTTGCAGTGAAAACCTTTACACTGCATTTTTTAATCTTATTCCGAAAAGTTAATTTTCTCTTGGAAAATGTGCTATTCAAAGGGGCAGCGACAAGTACTGTATTATTCAAAGCCTATGAATGTCGTTTTTCATCGACAAGGAACTTGCACCCATGATTCTATCCTCAAATGAACTTAAAAACCAGACACATTCTTGCATTTCTCTCGCGAATAACCTGCCGCACTCAGAGGACACCCCGCATGAAGGACAAATCCTTGAACACAAATAATTACCTCTCAAATAATTAGGTCCCCGGCATCTCCCTTATCTTTGGAGTCAATGAAGAAGAATTTTTTTCTGGCTCTTTCTCTCTTATCTGATCAGTGCTCATCTCTCTTTGGTATGAAGCAGTATGCATTGCACATGAATAAATGAAGACCGGTCATCCACTCTCTCAGTGGGGCGCAACTGCTCTCACGCTGGGGTCAGCTGACAAACCTCAGGTCCCCTCCGAGGGTGGGATGCATCCTTGTCCTTACTGTGACCCCTCCCTCAGGCAAAACCCCCCACCCCGCCCCCCTGATCCCCACTCCCACCAACCAGTCCTTTGATGTCCAGCCGAGCCGCTCGTAAGCAGACTGGGTCTCTCTCCAGGCCTGGCTCACATCAAAGGTGGCGATGGCTTTGGGCCTGGGGGGGTACTTTGCACATGGACTCTATCCTCGCCTGAGCCGGGGGCCGGGAGGCCGTGTCCAGGGTGCTGCATCTGCTTATCTGCTGGGTAAACAAGGCTCCTGATGACGCTCGCTAAACAAGCCAAGCCTTCACCTCCAATCCCAGTCCGTCTCATGGATAGATCTCCTATAGTAGGTGTGTCCAATCTCATCCGAAAAGGCCCTTTTTTGGATAAGACTGGACTGCCTTTCTTTATCGCCTTTGGAGTGAATTTGGTTTGTCAAGTCAAGCTCCTTCAAAAGACAAACCGATTAACTTAACAATTTGACTGTTTTTGTCGGCGCAGTGGGTAGTGCTGTTACCTCACAGCGAAAAGGTTGCGGGTTCAAATCCGGCCCGGGACCTTTCTGTGTGGCGTTAGCATGTTCTGCCTGTGGGTGCGGGGGTTTTCTCTCTGAACTGTGGTTTCCTCCCACAGTCTAAATACATACATGCCAAACTCATTGTCAGGCTAATCTAAATTGTATGAGTGTGTGAGTAAATGATGCGTGTGCCCGCTGATATATTGGTAAACTGTCCTTTATGTGTTGCTTCCTCGTACCTTTGATAATGGATAAACATTTTCACGCATTATGGTCAATAGCATATCAAGGGCTGACTGCAATAAACAGTTATGTCCAATACATAACATCTGGACATAACTGTTTATTGCAGTCAGCCTTCGATATAATATACTACTACAGCATAAACGTAGGTCCAAATATTTGCTGTAAATGATGAGCGCACTAATTGGCGTAGACTTCCATACAAATTTCAAAACCTTAAAGGTGCACTATGCAAGTTTGTTTACTTTCTGCGCGATTATATTTTTGTCTCAATTCGTCGACATCTCTCCATGATCCGCTCGCTGCCTGCCCCTAAATTCACTTTAAAAAAAATCCGGGCTCTGGAGACCGCACAGGCGTCACAAACTGCAAATGAACACAAGGGGCACAGGCTGTGCCCCATAACATAACAAACCGTCCTGACCAATCACCGACAATAGTTGACAGTTATGGAAGCATGGGAAGGAGGGAACTATGGGAGGGAGGGGTGGGCTACCTCTGTTTTGTTTGAGTTCGATTGTCAACAGAAGTGAAAGTAAACAAACTTGCATAGTGCACCTTTAATGTCCTATTGCACTTTGGAAAGTTCTATGCCTCATCAGAGCCATATTTCAAAAACATATCCACGGATCTCTATGTCAACTGGATGGGTTGACAGAGGACACATACAGAAAAGGAAAGCATCCACATGACTAAAGGTCATTGGAAGTGAACACTGAGCACTCTGAATGCCTGTAAACTAACAGATGGCATTTTTATCCAACGAATGGCACAGGAAATCCAACCTTGAAAAGACTGAAAACAAGCAGACACCTTAATCCATAATCAGTGCTAACTTTTTAAATTGGACAAAAGCAGTCTGATTAACAGGAAGAGCACTTGAGAGTGAAAATTGAAGAAAACTCTGGCTTTCTTTTTGTCTGACTTTTTGTGGAACTGACAGAGAAAATTGGAGCATGAAGAGTTTTAGTTTTCCACGACTTTTGAACAAACACTATCAGGGGTCATGCTTTCAACTTCTTTGCCTGCAAGAGCTAGTTTTGGGATTGAACTTCAGAGGGAACTCAGAAGTGAAACGGCTCCGAGCTGAAACTGTGCTGGGTTAGTTATTTATTTATCTATTGTAGGTTTGTTTGTTTTTCTTTTTTTTCGTCTTGTTTCTTGAGATAACCTAAGAAGACTTGATGGGCTAGGCTACAGCATGATCCATAAAGACCTTTCTATATGTGCATGTGAACTTCTCTGTGGTTTTACAATGGTATTCTAGTTTGGGGTTTGTTTGGGGCTACGAACTGAGATTAAAAGGTTAGCAAGGTAAGACGAGCCTAAAGCCAAGGTTTTCAATGTCATGACACTGGCTCTCTTACAACCCGCCATGATAACTTATGGAACCTCTGATTGCGAGTTTAGGATTTGTTGAGCCAGTTCGCGCAAAGAAAGCCTGCCTAGTTTTGAGCTTGGTTTATTGCACTCCCCTCAGGTTTAGTCGCCCTGCAAACGGTTTTTAATATTCTCTCAAGGTGACGCAAGTTTGATCTTAATCTCAGGAAAAAAAATTCTGCTATTGTGAAATTATTTTAGGTCTCTGAAGGATCGTTATCTACAAGGGCACACATAATCATAGACTTTACCCTTGATAAACTTCTCAAAACTAGAAGCTTTTATGAGGTCATTTTTGTTCTGAATGTATATACTGGGTGCTGGTATTTAAAGATGTGGCACGGTGGCACAGTGGGTAACACTGCTGCCTCACAGCAAAAAAGGTTGTGGATTTAAATCCAGCCTGGAGCCTTTCTGTGTGGAGTTTACATGTTCTCCCCGAGTTTGCTTGGGTTTCCTCCCACAGTCCAAAGACATGGATGTCAGGCTAAATGGAGAGTCTACCTTTGGTCCATAATCTGTTGGCTGCAGCACCCCTGTGACTCCAGTAAGAAAGAGGCGGGATACTGTCGATAATTGATGGATGGATGGTGTTTAAAGGCTTATCCCTTGAATTTTAAGTCCTGAGGCTGCCATTCAATGGTAATAATGTGCCCCATAGAAATACGGAAGAAACCATGTTTTTGGGGAAAAAAAGCCTTTAATGATCTACGTTACAGGCAGGTGCAATGGAAGCATCTGGTTTTGACTCGATAAAATTTAGTAGAACAAGTGTCACGCCCTGACACCTCAAGATGTGAAGGAGGGTGCTAGGGCAAGGAGTTCATAGGAGGACCCAGTTGCAGGGATGTGGAGTTTATTGCATAAACAGTGCAGGGATAAACAAACCAATACAAACTTTGAGAGAACATAAAGGGGAGCACTACAAATTCAAACGGGGAAACCAGACGAAGGCTACCTACTCGAATGAGGGAAAAAAGAAGCATAAATACTCTTAGATTACGAGATCAACTGAAAGAAAACAGGTGAGGATAATCAGGAAGGTGGACAACAGATTATTGAATAATTGATGCAGGGCAGGTAGCCAGGGTAATGGAATACCGGAGGGGAGGGGCATTACAACAAGCTTGGTTAATCCAGCGTAGGTTTCAATACCAACAAACGTTGTGCCGTTCCAAGTCATTGAGTGTAATGAGCATAGTAAAAAAACACACAATTAAAAAGAAAATTTTTATCAAAATCCGTCCATCAATTATATAACCCAATTTTGTGCAATGCAGAAAACACAGCCTGGACATTTCACCTGCCCGTTTCAAGAACACACCCGTTCACACACCAGTTGCTCACACACTCATACCCTTGGACTGTAGGGGGGGAACCGGAGTACCCAGGTATCCCATGCAGACACGCAGAAAACATTCAGAAGCCACACTGAAAGGCCCCAAGTCGGATTCAAACCCATGACCCTCTTGCAAGGAGTGCTATCCACTGCACCACCATGCTGACCTTAAAGGTCCCCTATTATGTCACCAGGTCCACAGCTAATTAGTCATTACAAGCCATTTCAAAATCTTTTCCCTCTTGACATCACATGGGGAAGTAACCAACCAGAGGCAAGAAAAACTGATCACCTTCAGCCAAGCAGTCAATCAGATTTCATTATTCTGGGTGGTCACTCCCCCTTGTGATGTCAGGCAGGGGAGACTTTGAACTGGCTCATAATGGCTAATTAGCTGTGAACCTGGTGGCATAATAGGGGACCTTTAATATCAGGTCAGAAAAATGGGATGCTAAGACTGAGCACACTTTAAGGGTTGGGCTGTGCTGGTCTCTCCCTCTGTATCCACTGAAAGACAGGATATATTTTTCATGTTTTTCTCTCTTTGGCTGGTCTGAGGGGCTCGGGAGACTGCATGATTCAAAGCTGTGAGAAGAACATACGCATTGGCCTTCCCTGACTGTAACTTCAAAATAAATGAGAGGATCACCCTTTCCTTTGTTGTCGGAGCACATTAACCACCGGGGGAGAAGAAGGGGATCGTGTCTTCATCTCTACCATATGCCTTCTGATGAAAAAAAGGAATACCGTCGGTTTGAAGAAAATATTGCCTTTCTCAAGAGAGAATCTTAACCTGTTCGACCTTGCTAATGCGAATGTAAAAAAAAAAAAAGAAAGAAAGAAACAAAAATACTGTTGGCAGTCTGAGTTCCATTAAGTTGTGTGTGTGTTTGTATACAGCAGGGAGAAAAGGTATTGAATGCATCAAGTTTTCTCTCAGTAAATATTTTTCTAATGGGGCTATTGACATGAAATTTTTACCAGATGTTGGTAACAACCCAAGTAATCCACACATACAAAGAAATCAAAACAAATAAGTCCAGAAATTATGTAATGGAATAAAAAGTGGAATGACACAGGGAAAAAGTAGTGAACACGCTTACTGAAATTCATTTAGTACTTCGTAGAAAAGCCTTCTAAAATGACTATCACTTCCTTAAAACTCAATGAATATTGATGACAATTTCAACAAATTTGAAACCATGTGTGCTCTCTCTACTGCAGTCAAAAATATAAGCTTGAGGTAATCAATTAATTTGAGATGGACGCTGCCACTACAATTTTTTCGGAACTTAATTTGTTCCTTTCTCAATTTCAGATTTAAACAATTGCTCCGACACTCAAACAAAATTTTTAGATAGGTTTGGAAAATTTTTTTCTTTCTTACTGGAAACGACGTGAAGGAAAACTCCAGGCCCCATTTCATTTGAATTAGAATTAGAATTAATATTCTTGACAACCGATTAGAAAAATTCAAAAACGAGGTAGAAGCCCCAGATGTACATTGCTTAGACAGCCTAAAAATAGCAGGACGGAAGCAGAATTTGGAATTGGTATTCCCCCACGGCATGCAGCGGCAATGATCACACTGAAAAGTGATTAGCAGCAGTCGGGCGATGACGCTGATTCGTCACGTACCTAATATTAATTATCTTCTCTGTCCTCTCTGAAGAAAATAATGATTTCATTGCACTCATACAATTTGGTCCTCCTTCAATGTACCAGCTGATGAAACGTGAATCCTGATTGCCTCAGCATTACTGCTGCACCCTTCCTGAGAAATCACATTCTTGAACAACCCATTTTGATTATGTGCCCCTGTGAACATCACGAGGGGAGTTATTTGCATAGTACACCCCAGTTTTGACACGTTTCGGTTTTGGCAGCCATTGTTGGTTTCTCGAGCAAAGAGACAGCCAATCAGAGCACAGCCTAATTTTCACTGATTCTTTCTCTCGATGCAGCACAGAGTGGAGAAAATAAGAAACTGGGGACTAGATGAAAATGTTGAATTCGTGTTTATTTCCCGCAAGCTTCAAAAGCTTGTCTGACAGAGACCATAAAATTGTATCAACTTTTT